AACATACATAGCGACGTGTGTGTGTGTGTGTGTGTGTGTGTGTGTGTGTGTGTGTGTGTGTGTGTGTGAGTGAGCGCGCGCTTGTGTCCGTCCGTACTTACCGGTTTTATAGTGCTGGGAGAGTTATATCCCATTCATGACGAGCACGACTCAGAGAAACAAGTACCATGTTTTGACATATTTTGGATGAACTTTCGCTCTTCGAACAGAAGCTCCATCAACTGGACCAGGTGATGTCCCCCAACGATACCTAACGCTGCTAAAACATTTATGTCTTAATATTGAGTAGAGTGTAGATTTTTCGAGGATGAGAAACAGTTGTCGAGACTTGATGTGCTTTGGGAGAAACGTCGAGTGTAATATTAAGTGAAATATTTAACTAATCACACCTTTCTGGGGTGACAACGGTATGTTGCAGGACGAAGAACGAAGTAATTCGCCATCAAGCTAGTGAAAGAATATGTCTTGCTTCGTGATCCAGTAATTCAAACGAAAATGGCGAATATCGAAACAGATCACATGCATTCACTCTGCATTATTGTTGATGAACTCAACATGACCACATACACAATGGTACCAAAACACCAGGCCAATATAATATGTTAAGGTGTGGCTGGGACATTTCTTCTACTTTAATGTGGAAAACTAGCATATATGGATAAAAGACTATGATTTATGCGGAGCAAACATTTTTGTGTGGATGGGTTAACCATTTTTATTTAATTCTCATTAAATTAAAACATTTATGTTGGAAACGGACAACAAATCTAGGCAATCAAGGATCAGCTGTAATAATCGTTGCTGAGTAACAATGGTAGTCTGTGGCACGAAATCTATCAAGTCACCGACCCTGACCACTCGAACCATTAAGTTGGATCTTGCAAGAAGCATATGTTGCTGGGGACCAATTTTAACCCGGACTCGCTCTCGGAGGTTTGTCAAGTCTAAGCTTACCTTATAAACGCCGAGTGATGTAATCCTGTTGTTTTTATGTCGCAGAATATCCTGTTATCCAAATATGACACAGGAAAGTGGTGAAGAAGGTATAATGTCATTGTTGCAAAACCATTCCCACTCCAGTGGTATTGTGCCCGTGCTATGGATCGGCTCACGTGGTCTCTGGTGGGCTTCACATCTCGTCTACCGTATTTAAACATGGAAATTACCTGCCACACAAAGTTCGTTGAACTTATTTCAGATTGCGAAGTGGCATGATTGACTCAGTATATGGGTGGTTGCTTTGCAAAAAGAACCTGTTCCCGAAAATGCTGACAAAAAGTTTCAGATTCTATAAAAGATAAAATCGTTTGCTCCACATACAGTGTGTTCTTATATAATGTGTTTGTGTGTCCAAAGATTGTGTGTCCAAAGTTTTCTTATCTCATCTTAACACATTCGCCACCATTCGTGTGTTTCCGTAACCTACAACAAGGCTCTACCCCTCTCGAAGGCCGATATGTGTCGAAATGGCGCAAGCCAATCAGAAAGCGTCAGGATTTGAGTACTTTGATCAATATAACCCCGAGTAGTGGAATTAGGTTTGGCAATGTGCGTTTGTTTAAAAAATGTGGCAAAATGTAGATGAAGATTTTAATTAACGGTGGTAACCATAGTTTGTTCCAAGTCCCAAGCACGAGAATCTGATGGCACACAAGTTCAGTAGCGTGTATGGCCACCATGTGCGTTGACAACTGCCACAAAACGCCTCCTCATTGACCTGGTGATGCTTGTGAACACATGATTGGGAAGACGACGCCATTGTTGCTGCAAAATGGTACCAAGATCTTGCAAATTCTGTGGAGAATGCGCAGACTTCTGCCAAGAGCATCCCAGACGTAGTCGATGGGATTGAGGTCGGGAGACCTTGACGGCCAGTCCATGACGTTGACTCCCGCATTCTGAAGGAAATTCCTTGTCAGAATTGCTATGTGGGGTCTGGCATTGTCGTGTTGAAAGATCAAACCGGGTCCATGTGCTGCCATAAAAGGCAGAAGTTCTGGTGCCAGTACCTGGTCGCGGTAAGCAGCAGCGTTGAGGTTGCCACGGATGACAAGAAGCCTGGAACGTGCATTGCCACAGAAAGCACCCCACACCATGACACTTCCGCCTCGAAATCTGTCAACTACGTGTACACAACACTGGGCGTAACGTTCATTACGGCGCCTCCACACCCTCGCCCTACCATCAGCAAATCGATGATTAAATCGGGATTCATCACAATGTGCCCACAATTGACGTTGACGTCTGTGTAATTGAGTCAGAATCGGCCCGCAGTTCTCAGACGGTTTCGAACAGTTTGCGCACTCAGTCTACCCCTAAACAGGTCATTTCTGGTTGATGTAGCTGTCAAAAATCAGTTACGGAGGTGACGTAAGACAATCTGACGATCCTCTGCATGTGACCCCGTTTGCTGTAGACGCGTCTGTAAATCATAAACAGTCCGTCGACTACAACCCATCGTCCTTGAGACTTCAGCTACGGACGTTCCCGTCTGCAACATGCCGATGGCACGTTCACGTTGCACATTTGAAAGGCGTGGCATGACAAATGGCCGTAAAGACTTTTGTTTTCTTGTGTTTTTCTTTTTTTTGTTAATGACTGCTAACAAGTATGGCTGAAAACACGTGCGGTATTATGGCCACGTGACCAGTTGCACGTGAAAAACCACTTTTGCCACTATAGTGGCAAAATTTAATTTATACCAGCTAGCACTGACATTTAAAGACACAATCCACTTCTACAACTTGTGTATTAACAATGATGTTTGTCTTCGCTTTATTAGGTATTAAAGGATGGTCAAGTGTAGATGGATTATTAATACTTTTATTACATTCACAATTGACAACTGAATCATAAGGATACTTGTTGCTAGAAGAAAATCGATTCCTCACTAAATATTCAAAACTATATGATGTTTCATGGTATACCACAAATCATAAACGCAAGGCTATATGAGATTCGAACGAATTATTTCGTAATTTGTAAAAGAAAGCCCTCGAATGAAGGAAGCTATCGTAAAATGATCGAAAATTGTAATGAGATATTAATGTAATAAATATTATGGGTTAGAAATCACCCTGATGACGTACATATATTCTGCTTTAGTATGTTTCTAGTATGAGACTAACATGCTACTCCCACACAATTTAATCACTTAAATGCCGACTATACAAAAGCTATTTATGGTATATCCAGCATATATTTTGTACTCAGCTGTATGTCTTTACCTCAGTTGATAAAAGTACCTTAAGCTTGAACTAGCTTGTTTGTTGTTTAACGCCGCACTAAGCAATATTCTGCCTCCATGACGACTGCTCGTACATCTTCACAAGGCAAACCAGGAATTGATATTGTCGGCAGCGATCCACGCGGTCGAGGTACGATCTTACGCAATCAAGCAGGTTACCGAGTCTGATCACCCCCTTCATTAAGACGCCTTTTACGACAAGCATTGGTACCTTTGGAATTCCCACGGGATTTGAATATTACCATAGTTTCACTATGTTCTTGGTATATGTTTAGAAACACTTTTATGTTCATGTATATGTCTCTAGACATGGTGGATATGATATACTTTCATAATTTTATTGTAATTTATTTATCTAAAATGTGTGTATTGTTTCTTAAGGCTGTCCATGAAAGGACAGATTCAGTCAAGAAATAAATGAGTTTTAACAATTGTCGTTTCATGCATTGAACAAACAATATCATAATTGCTACACATAACCGAATATGTCTGAGAAATCCATTGTTGAAATTACATTTATCCCAAAACCACCTTCGACTTGTCAGTTTTCTTTATCTACTGTTAATATCTTCTTAAAACATTAATAATGTGCAAAATAAAAGATAAACAGCTGAGAAAGAATGAGTTGAATGGCTTGCCAAATAATTGTTTGTACAAAAATATATAGTGGTATCAGAGAGGTTCAATAATTTCACAAGAGGAGTAAGCGAGCACTGCTGTAACATATATATATATATTTACTACATTACGCGGGAAGACTGGGACTTATCGTTCTTGTTTGGAGTAGTTCTCGTATGCATACGCCAGTATGAAAACCTTTGAGAGGGACACGAGTCAACATTCGGCTTTTCCCGGAATGGGACGGAATGGGACGAATTGGCCTTCGAATAAATAGAGACAGAAAGTGTATAAATCTCAAACAGAAATCCGGAAGGGTCAGATAAATTTACGGAAGAGTGATGTCATCATGTTGTAGCGGTTAAGAACAAAACGACATTATGATTATCTGATTGTCCATTAACATAACGTCATCAAAACAGGCAGTAAAGTTTGCAGGGTATTTTACACATTTTTTTTCATTAAATGAAAGTGAATGGGGACCAAAGTGACACAGAGTTAAGTCCCTTGCACATGTTAGGAGCCTATCATCGTGGGTTCGAACCCAGATTCACTCTGATCATAATCCTTAGTTTGTCAGCACCGGCAATACAACGTCTATTCAACGAATGCGGGATTTTCTCCCACTTTAAGCTAACTCGCTGGGATATAACTGGTATGTTTGTGTATACGATAGATATAGTCAACTCACCGTGCTTGACACTAAGGTCCTCTTTTGTTGTGTTCCATACAACGGCCGGGAAATCGATGTTACAGAATTACTTTGTTTGTTGTATATAGCAAACGAGTTCTGACCAGACAATCCTGTGATTAAAGCATGAGCATCGCTCCAGCCAATTGGTATTCAATGACATGCATCAACAATGTGAGATCCCGTTAGTTGGCTCTTACCATATGCATGGATTGTTGAAGACCAATTTTAACCCGGATCTTGAAAGGGATAATAGTGCTGACCAAAGACTAAACGTATGGTTAGTACTTTTATGATCTAGACAGCTGGTTAAGTAAAAAAATGTAATTATATTAAATGCAGATGCTCCACAGTCATGGACTGTCTTGATATGCGGAATTTCCAGCACATTGGTTAAATTTTCTTCAGAGAAACATACATGCATGTGTTAATTGAGGAGAAGAATGCTATTTTGAAGTTTATTCTTCATATATATTACAGTCTTGACTTCTTTGTCTGTTCCATTGACTTCATACCAGGCTGAAAAATATAAACAACTCATTAGAAACAACCTAAGAACAAATATGTGTCATGTCCGTGAATGGGTCAATGGAGGTGTATCACAACAGAGTGTATTAATATGTATTATATTTAATTTGGGTGTCTGATGTAAGATGTTTGAGCTGACCTTACAATTTAGATGTTCACCTTATTTTAAGCTTCCAGGCTTTTTTATATGACCTATATATGAAAGAATCAGAAACATTTTACATTATAGATCTTTTGCTAATATTGAGTTTTTCTGTCATGGCGTGTCAGCTTAACAGCCCTTTGTGTCACTGGTCGTAGACAAGCAATAGAGATTTCTTAGTACAAATACAAGTATGATAGTGTTATTCTACCTCACGCATCATGGGGGTGACATTCACACTCGTCCAGGTGGTGGTTGCAGTTGACGTTGCCGGTACAGTTGGTGCAGAGGTTGATGCAGAAGGAGTGGCCGTTAGAGCCGGCAGCAACACAACCATTCCCGCACGCCTCAGGAGCTGCGTCTGTCAAAAGGGTAAATTTGGTTGTAGAATACATCAATGCCAGAGATTCCTTTGTCATCACGAGTGCTGGTGTCTGCTGGTAGTTAGATTAGATCCCAGTTTAGATTGTGAGTATACAATGTAGTGTAGAGCTCGTGTTTGGTTTCACTTGCCACCATATGATTGGAATAAAGCACCGTATAACCTCACTCACTCACTCACTCTCTCTCAAACACAAACTGTAGGATTACGTATCAAATTCAATAAATGTATCTAACGTACGCACGTGAAAACGGTGACAGTTATAGTCTTGATAACAAGGAACGCGCTTAGGTTTATGTTTGGGGTCTAAACACATTTTTCCAGTGTGTGCAGTTGTGACAAAAAAGACCGAACCCTTTCTTACATTCGGCAGATTAGAAAGGAAAGCGTCACGGAGCTAAATATGAATTAAATATGAATGGCCACTGAGTGATCCAATGTATGTTGTTGAAACAGGTCATACTTTGAGGATATTTGTGTGCCAGTGGCAGACATTTCCAGTGTATCGATACTGAATCCCTATCAGATCCCGCGGTTTTCCGGACACCGAGATTAGTGCGCCGTTGAGATAACTCTGTCACTTCCGGAATTATAAAATCATTAGAAATACTTACGGGAGGCAACCAGAAGAGTAGCCAACACAAGAAGGACAGCAAACTTCATTATTATTTTGATGAAACTTTACCCGTTCATGGTACTTATATAGTGCTTAGTTCTTTCATGTGGCCCCGCTCCTACAAATAGATCAACGTCGTAGACCATGGTACTCCAATCACATACGCAAATCATCACAGGTCCAAAGTACAACTTAATTTTTCTGACGTCACGATCTTCGATGTGCGTCTTAATGTCTGCCTTATCGCCGGCATCTGTGTGTTCTCACGAATTATGTTATTTGGACAAAGATTAAATACCTTTGTGATCTTACTTTGTTTGAACTTTTTCTTTTGGGAAAGACACACAATACACAAACCGTGGAGCAAAAGAAAGTATACCGAGATTGTTTTTTATGTCATTGAAAAATTGAAAGAACTATTGTTACATTGGTCATGTTTATTTAACCATCACTCATTCCTGGAACAGTTTGTAAAAGGTAATCTGTGGATGGGTAAGTTTGTGCAAAAATAAATTGGTTTAATGAAGTCTGGGGTTAGAAATTGATTTGCGACCACATGATGCCATCTAAGTTAGAAATATTCTTACCCAGACTGTAACAACGTGATCACTCAACTCAATGATGATGTTTATCGCGAGAAAAATGGATGATTCTTAATAAGTTTCAGCACACATGCAGCTAGCTTCGGTAATTAATCATCGCGATATTAAAATTTCGTGATTCTATTTCAAGTGGCGAGAAACATAATCTCCTTCAAGAAGTCTTCCCCCAGCCTAGAACAATCATCCTCTACGGCAGAGAGATCCAGAATGTGTCTGAGCTAAAACATCTTGGAAAAGAGCTTCATGAATCATTTAATTCATGGCACAGGACAATAGCAGCTTGCTCGAAAATGAAGTCTAAAGCATTCGCTTTAATCAAATCAGGCTATCACTCTAATGCACTGAGTCCCCTCACCAGTCTCAAGTTGTTCCAGACAATATGCCTACCTAAAGCATTTTACGGCTGCGAGTTGTGGTCAGATTTGACAAAGAGGGAGCTACAAGCAATTGAACGCACACCAAGACTAGCAATAAAGATGGCACAAGGACTTCCGAAACATATCAGAACTGACCTATGTAACTCTCTTTTGGGAACCTTACCTGCAGAAGCAGCAATTGATAAAAAGAAGCTGTTGTTCTTTGGAAAGCTTTGTCATACAAACCACACTAATATATCCCAAAGTGTCTTCATAACCCGCCTCTTCTGCTACAAGAACAGCTGCAGTCCAGTTTCACTTGGATTCATCCCGGATGTCTATCGACTCGTGAAGTAGTACGGACTAAAAGAATATCTTGAAATGTTCATAGACTCTGGAAGTTTTGTGAGTTACATCTCCTGGAGGAAGATCGTCACAGAAGCTATCTTCACTTATGAGAAAGAGCAGTGGGCCTGTAGAATAGCTGCTGACCCAGACCTAAAACACTTTTAAAAAATCCATCCTGAAATTCAGCCTCACTTTGCATGGCAGATTGCAAAACTATTTCCCTTGATGAAGCCCCTCTGCAGACTAATTGTGAAGCTGTGTGCTTGCTGGAGGCCAGGGAAAGGAAAGGGCACCCGTGTCTTGTGTAATGCTGACATCAGTGACCCTCTGGTCCACAGTGTGTGCTCGTGTGTGTACCGTACACATATACGTGACAGTCTCAGGATGGACATTATAGACTGTAGAAGTGAGCGTCAGTCTCCACAGTAAGGATGACACCGATCTTGTGTGTTCTCTGCTCTCGTGCAGACCTCCACTTCCTCTGCCAGAAGAAGATACAATTATGCAAAGACTCTTATACAGCACCTTTCAGCATTCGCATCAACTCCTGAACTTTAAAATAACATGTATCTAGTCCCCTAAATATTTTTTTTCAATATTTTGCCCTGCATATTGTACTCTCCTTTGGAGGAATAAAAGCTTATATATATATAACGGGTATACTGTAAAAGGGGCGTAAACCCCAACTCACTCACCCACTCACTCTAGTGCAGATACTGCAAAGTGGCAGTTTCTTTTTCAAGAAATCGTAATACAATGTACCAATACTTATGATGTACGTGTCTTTTCAGTATGGTCATTCCCGTGACACTCGCACTCATCATTGTGTTTGTTGCAATGGACGTGTCCTGTACAGGTAGTGCAGAAGTTCCGACAGAAGGGTATTTCTGTAGCGCCAGAAGCCATACCGTTTGTGCTGTCTTGAGCTCATGATTCCCCCACAAGGCAACAAATAAGAAGGCTGTAAGTTCGATCCCATTGAAATAAAAGTAACATTTGTTGTTTGAGTTTACATCATTTCGCTCATTTCCTTAAGATAGCATTGTAATCGGCTTGATTGTCTGATTTGTGTTCAGTCCCTTGATTGCCTGGTCTGTTTTCAGTCACTTGATTGTCTTGTTGCATAACAGGCCACGGTCTCATGGCAGGAGTAATTCTGGGCGGCGTCAGACAACACATACACATCTACGTACTGATGCAAATTGTGTAAGTGTCGGGTGCTTGCCCTTTCTCGAGAACACCTGGTGTCATCACTGATTTTCATTGATCCATTCATATGGCTTTCACCGCTGTTTTGAATTTTGCGCTCAGTGGAGTCTGTTTCGGAGGATGATTGAGACTGGCATTAACGTTTTATATTTGTGCATTTTGGGATAGGGGACTTTCTATAGAATATCTCTAAAGAATATCTCCCGGACAGAGGGATATTCTATAGAAATTCCCTGATAACAGGCTATTCTGCGACATAAAAACAATATCATTACATCACTCGGCGTTTATAAGGTAATCTTAGACCTGACCAACCTCCGAGTATTAGTACGGACGGACACAAGCGCGCGCGCTCACACACACACACACACACACGCACGCACGCACGCACGCACGCACGCACGCACGTATGGCAAGCCGTTTTCACATTTATTACGGAATTACAGATATCTACAATTGTTTTAAGGATATCGGTATTTTTTTTAAAGATATCAATAATGTTTTTAAGGGATCCAAAAATAATTAAAGATACCTTAAATTCATTTCTGATATCCATATTACAATTACTGATATCTTAAAATGTTACGGTGTTATCAACAAACTAGTTTGTGATATCTCTAAATGTATTTAAGATATCATTAAACAATTACCATCCTACAGTACATAAATATATTAGAAATAAATTCAAGATGTCTTCAATTCAATTCAAGATATCTTGAAATAAGTTATACATATCCACAAATGCATTACAGTTCTTTAATTCAATTTAAGATATCATTAATTCTGACCGTTACTGATATCAAAAATCCAATTAAAGATATCATTAATAATTTTGATGATATCTTTATATCAATTATTGATATCAGTTATCTAATTTAAGTAACATTATTAATGTAACATCTTTAATAATGGCAACAATTGAAGATATCAATAATTAATTATTGATATCTGTATTTAGTTTCAAGGAATTGAATTATTGACATAACAAAACATGACATTTTGATATCTTTAAATCATATTTTGATATTAATAACCGAATTTAAGATATCAGCAATTCTTTTCAAGATATCAGTAATACGCTTCACCATATCCTTAATTCATTTCGTGATATCTTAAATTTTAATGCAGATATCTACAATTATCTATATTTAAGATATCTTCAATTCGATTCAAGATATCTTCAATTCGATTCAAGATATCCTCAATTCAATTCAAGTTATCTTTAAAACAATTGAAGATATTAGTAATTCCGTAATAAATGTGAAAACGGCTTGCCATACGCACGCACGCACGCACGCATACACACACGTCACTATGTATGTTAACATGTTCAACATCAACATATTCTAAAGTAACGGTGAATGACGAGAAACTAAACACCCGACTGCAATCTGAAGTAACTTTATTGACAAACACCCTCCTTAGCACAGTCACACTGTCATATCCTGCAGCTTGATGGCGGCGCTCATGGCTAAAACAAATACAAATCGTTATTATTGTAATGTATTTTTATGATATATTAATTAGATGTCATACCGTGAATATGCTCCAGAATCCATTAGCGACAAGACTGACTTCTCAGGATACTTTTCTTAATGTCCATATATTATACCAAATTGTCCTTTGTCAGCAACCTTTAAGTGTTATTTTGTCACATATGTCAAATATTGCATTCATGATCACTCAGGGAAAGGAGTAAGTATTCTCACCCATCATACTCAACAGCCATTTACATAACCTATCACCACTTTGAGGGCGACAAGGGTCTTATCTAAGCAATCACCTGTATATGTATCCAACATTTATCTTAAATCAAAATACATTATATCCAATCCTTGAACATAGGGCGGGTTTGTTGACGATAGCCAACTATTAAGAAGATGTTGCCGATCAAGCCAGTGTATCCTGTGAACAAAAGGATGGTAACAGATCGCCTTATATTCGTATGTAACGCTGCCCATTGCAAGTTCGTAAGTCTTTACCTTAGCATGGTGCTCGCATTCGATCATATATTATATACGTACCTTGTGAGTATGGTCATTTGAGTGGCACTCGCATTCGTCAAGATGGTGGTTACAGTTGACGTGGCCGGTACAGCTGGAGCAGAGGTTTTCGCAGAAAGAGTGGGCGTTAGAGCCTGAGTCTGCACACCCCTTGCCACAAGAGGTCTGGGCTGCCTCTACAAAGAAACAATTCCATCTGTTCATGGACACATACTACCAACGTGAAAGCAAACAGTGAAGCATATATATTAGAAAGACTAAAGGGCAACGTCTATATCAATATCAACAGAAAGAAAATGAATTTGACTAAGATGCGAAGTTGACAAAAGACGATCCAGTGATAGCACTCAATATACATATTACAAGATCTTACGACTGCCAATTAAGACACATTCTTCCTCCATGAATCTCCAATGAACTGAGCTTATATCGAAGTAAGTAAATACAGTACAATGAGGTGCTGTCGGTAAACGAGATTCAATGCCAACTGAACGACTACACAGAGCTGGGTATTCTCTGGCGGGACGGGTATGAATGGGAAAACATGAAAATACTTACGGGTGGCGACCAGGAGAGAGGCAAACACGAGGACAATCACAAACTTCATGGTTTCTTTATGCTGTGGAGTGTTTCCAGGACCTTATATAGCCGTGCGTGTATAAGTAGGTCGATACGTCGCAGTCAAGGCTGTTTATCAGCGAACATCTGTCCTGTAAAACTTTGGTATTCAATAATGATTAATATTTATTTTTGCCACTATGCACATTCGAAGACATGTTTGACGTCAAAAGAAGCCATGCGCATTGCGCGTGTAAAAACACAAGCACATATATTACAGCGCAGCACAGTATTATACAGACAAACACATTTGATGCCAAACAGTTGGCATTAGCTACAGGGTGAATGCTTTAAAATGAACTTGCATTCACTTCCTCCTGGGGATTCTGGATTAGCTTCCTCGTATAACAACTGATCCGGGTTAGAAATTTCTTCAGCAACCCATGCTTGTTGTGAGAGGTGACTTACGGGATAAGATGCACGTGTTCAGGCTCGGAGACTTGGTTGTTGCATGTCATCGCATCCTGATTGCGCAGATCAATACTTATGACCTGTGAAGATTCTCGGTAGAATAGGTCTTCAGCAGCCCATGCTTGCCATAAAAAGTCGACTATGCTTGTCGTAAGCGGCGACTAACGGGATCGGATGGTCAGCCTCGCTGACTTGGTTGACGCATGTAATCGTATCCTGGTCCAGACGCGATCATTTACAGATCGCCGTCTTATAGCTGCAATATTGCTAAGTGCAACGTTAAACAACGCACAAACAAACAGCTGTCGCTTTGTTCATAACCTCGTACGATCCTTGTGCATCTTTGGCCCAGCAATATGCCAATCACGAACCTAGGTTTGTTGGCAGCATAACCATGCTCGTTGGTTTCCCCAAAGTGGACAAGGCATAGGATTTATCACTTTTGTCTTTCTTCCAACATTCAGCCGATATACGGCGTGAAATATCTGACTGTTCAGTCTTCGTTAGACCTAGCTTTAGCCGCTAACCCACTCACGTAACATTAACAACGTCAGGGCATATTAGAGGCCATATATCCAGTTTTTGTTTTATTAGTGAGTGAAACTAGAAACTTTACAACCGTTTCATCTTGGTCACTTTCCAAATATGACACAGGAAAGTAGCGAAGAAGGTATAACGTCATTGTTGCAAAACCATTCCCGCTCCAGTGGTGTTGTTCCCGTGCTATGGATCGGCTCACGTTGGCTCTGGTGGGCTTCACATCTCGTCTACCGTATTTAAACATGGAAATTACCTGCCACACAAAGCTCGTTGAACTTATTTCAGATTGCGAAGTGGCATGATTGACTCAGTGTAAAAAACTATTCCCGAAAGTGCTGACAAAAAGTTTCAGATTCTATAAAAGATAAAATCGTTTGCTCCACATACAGTGTGTTCTTATATAATGTGTTTGTGTGTCCAAAGATTGTGGGTCCAAAGTTTTCTTATCTCATCCTAACACATTCGCCACCACTCGTGTGTTTCCGTAACTTACAACAAGGCTCTACCCCTCTCGAAGGCTGCTATGTGTCGAAATGGTGCAAGCAAATCAGAAAGAGCGTCAGGATTTGAGTACTTTGATCAATATAATCCCGAGAAGTGAAATTAGGTTTTGCAATGTCCGTATTGACAAGGCTATGTTAGATGATCAGTTCAAATGTACATGTGCGTTCAAGTTTGACTCACTTGACTGCAAAATCCGGTCATTTGTGCTATATAACTAGACCTGGCTTTCAAAAACGACATTCCGTGTATAAAAGTAATTAATTAATCACCGATTTCATAACATATTATTCACATTCCTCTTACATTCTCATTATTTGACATTGTGTTGCGGATATTTTTTACCAATGGCGATTTTTACAAATGTGTTTGTGACAGACCAAGATAGCCAACGCTCCAGTAAAGGCTTAACAATCAAATGTACGTTTCACACCGATTAATCAAATATATATTGTACTGAAATATCAGAATTTGCAGTAGACGTGTAACTTTTGAATTTGCTCAGGTCATTCATATATTTCATGGTATTCATGGACCATGTCAAAAGTATGTGATAGAAGTATAACGTCTTAGGTGAGTGAGTAAGTGAGTGAGTTAAAGTTTAACGTCGCATAGCCATTATTTCAGCCATGTGGCGACGAGACCAAGTTGATATATACACAGTATATTCATGAATACAAAATTATATTTAAAAACAATTAATCAAACATATTTGGGCATAACAATATAATTTATACAGTTTTAAAACACGGGCTATATCCAACCAGTAACCAAAGCTAGGCCTCCTCGCTGGGTGGAAGAACAACGAATACTTCCACTTCTACAACTTGTGTATTAACTATGTTGTTTGTCTTCGCTTTATTAGGTATTAAAGGATGGTCAAGTGTAAATGGATTAGAATGGTGAAGCCTGTTTGTTGTTTAACGCCGCACTAAGCAATATTCTGCCTCCATGACGACTGCTCGTACATCTTCACCAAGCAAACCAGGAATTGATATTGTCGGCAGCGACCCACGCGGTCGAGGTACGATGGTACGCAATCAAGCATGTTACCGAGTCTGATCACCCCCTTCATAAAGACGCCTTTTACGACAAGCATTGGTACCTTTGGAATTCCCACGAGATTTGAATATTACCATAGTTTCACCAAGTTCTTGGTATATCTCAGAAACACTTTTATGTTCATGTACATGTATATGTCTCTAGACATGGTGGATATGCTATACTTTCATAATTTTATTGTAATTTATTTAAATGTGTGTATTGTTTCTTAAGGCTGTCCATGAAAGGACAGATTCAGTCAAGAAATAAATGAGTTTAACAATTGTCGTTTCAAGCTTTGAACAGACAATATCATAATTGCTACACGTAACCGAATATGTCTGAGAAATCCATTGTTGAAATTACATTTATCCAAAAAACACTTTTGTCTTGTCAGTTTTCTTTCTCTACTTTTAATATCTTCTTAAAAAAATAATAATGTGCAAAATAGAAGATAAACAGCTTAGAAAGAATTAGTTGCCAAATAAATGTTTGTACAAAAATATATAGTGGTATCGGAGAGGTTCAATAATTTCACAAGAGGAGTAAACGAGCACTGCTGTTAACTTTACTACAAGACGCGGGAAGACTAGGACTTGTCGTTCTTGTTTGGAGTAGTTCTCGTATGCATACGCCAATATGGAAACCTTTGAGAGGGACACGAGTCAACATTCGGCTTTTCCCGGAATGGGACGGAATGGGACGAAATGGCCTTCGAATAAATAGAGACAGAAAGAGTATAAATCTCAAACAGAAATCCGGTATGGTCAGATACATTTACGGAAGAGTGATGTCATCATGTTTCGGCGGATAAGAACAAAACGACATGATGACTATCTGATTGTCCACTGATAACATAACGTCACCAAAACACTGTCAGTAAAGTTTGCACGGTATTTTATACATTGTGTTTATTGCATTAAATGGAAGTGAATGGGGACCAAAGTGACACAGAGTTAAGTCCCTTGTGCGTGTCAGGAGCCGCTCATCGTTAGTTCGAAGCCAGGTTCACTCTGATCATAATCCTTGGTTTGTCAGCACCGGCAATACAACGTCTATTCAACTAATGCGGGATTTTCTCCCACATTAAGCTAACTCGCTGGGATATAACTGGTATGTTTGTGTCTACGGTAGACGTAGCCAACTCACCGTGCTTGACACTAAGGTCCTCTTTTGTTGTGTTCCATACAACGGCCGGGAAATCGATGTTACAGTATTAGTTTGTTTGTTGTATATAGCTATCGAGTTCTGATCAGACAATCCTGTGATTAAAGCATGAGCATCGATCAACCCGATTGGGATTCAATGACATGCATCAACAATGTGAGATCCCGTTAGTTGGCTCTTACCATATGCATGGATTGTTGAAGACCAATTTTAACCCGGATCTTGAAAGGGATAATAGTGCTGACCAAAGACTAAACGTATGGTTAGTACTTTTATGATCTAGACTGGTTAAGTAAAAAAATGTAATTACATTAAATGCAGATGCTCCACAGTCATGGAATGTCTTGATATGCGGAATTTCCAGCACATTGGTTAAATTTTCTTCAGAGAAACATACATGCATGTGTTAATTGAGAACAAGAATGCTAATGCTAGTTTATTCGTCATATATATTACAGTCTTGACTTCTTCGTCTGTTCCATTGACTTCATACCAGGCTGAAACATATCAACAACTAATTAGAAACAACCTAAGAACAAATATGTGTCATGTCCGTGAATGGGTCAATGGAGGTGTATCACAACAGAGTGTATTAATATGTATTATATTTAATTGGGGTGTCTGATGTAAGATGTTCGAGCTGACCTTACAATTTGGATGTTCACCTTATTTTAAGCTTCCATGCTTTTTTATATGAAATATATATGAAAGAATCAGAAACAATTAATTTACATTATAGATCTTTTGCTAGTATTGAGTTTTTCTGTCATGGCGTGTCAGCTTAACAGCCCTTACTGTCGCTGGTCGTAGACAAGCAATAGAGATTTCTTAGTACAAATACAAGTATGATAGTGTTATTCTACCTCACGTATCATGGGGGTGACATTCACACTCGTCCAGGTGGTGGTTGCAGTTGACGTTGCCGGTACAGTTGGTGCAGAGGTTGATGCAGAAGGAGTGGCCGTTAGAGCCGGCAGCAGCACAACCATTCCCGCACGCCTCAGGTGCTGCGTCTGTCAAGAAGGTAAATTTGTAGAATACATCAATGCCAGAGGTTCCTCTGGCATCAAGAGTGCTGGTGTCTGCTGGTAGTTAGATTAGATCCAAGTTTAGATGTCCAGTGTGGGTATACAATGTAGTGTATAGAACTCGTGTTTGGTTTCACCTGCCAGCATATGGTTGGACTAAAAGCACCGTATAACCTCACTCACTCACTCGCTCTCGCCAACACAAACTGAAGGATTACATATTAATAAGTATAAATTTACTGAATTTATATAACGTATGTATGTGAAAACGGTGACAGTTATAGTCTTGATGTTAAGGATCTAAACATTTTTTTTCCAGTGAGTGCAGTAGAGGCAAGGATGATAGAACTCTTTCGGTACAACCGACAGATTAGAAAGAAAGTCGTCACGGAACTTAATATGAACGGTACTCCCATTTGAATGTGTGTACGCCACCGAGTTATCCAAGGAATGTTAATGTAGCAGGTCAAACTTTGAGGATATCTGTGTGCCAGTGGCAGACTTCATTTCCAGTGTATCGATACTGAATCCCAGTCAGTCCCCGCGGTTGCCTGGACACTCTGTCACTACCGGTATTAGAAAATCATTAGAATTTAGAAATACTTACGGGAGGCAACCAGAAGAGTAGCGAACACAAGAAGGATAGCAAACTTCATTATTATTTTGATGAAACTTTACCCGTTCATGGTACTTATATAGTGCTTAGTTCTTTCATAAGGCCCCGATCCTAAAACATATCAACGTCATAGACCATAGTACTCCAATCACATACACACATTATCACAGGCCCATAGTACAAATTAACTTTTCTGACGTCGCGATCTTGATGTGCGTCTTAATGCCTGCCTTATCGCCGGCATCTGTGTTTTCTCATGAATTATAGTATTTGGACAAAGATTGAATACCTATGTGTTCTTAATTTCTTTGCACTTTGTATTTTTTTTGAAAAGACACATACAATGTAACACTATGTCTGATGCCATATCGCAGATACACAACACAAACCGTGGAGCAAAAGAAAGTATACCGATCATGTTTATTTAACCATCACCCATTCCTGGAACAGTTTGTAAAAGGTAATCTGTGGATGGGTAAGTTTGTGCATAAGTAAATTGGTTCAATGATGACTGGGGTAAGGAATAATTTGCAACCCCTACCATGTTTGAAATGTAACCACATGATCACAACTTAATGATGATGTCTATCGCCAGCTAGGATATTTCTTGAAAAGCACTCTTTGCAATTTCTGTCGTTACTGTAAGTAACATTTCTCTCGACGGAATGGCTTGTTTTCACGTGATAGTATCAGCACACAGGCAGCTATCTTCGTTAATTAATCATCGCGATATTTCTTGACTATTTCAAGTGGCGAGGACTATACTTGAAGTCGTAGTTCCGTCTCTTGGGTACGTATCCCGGTTCGCTCTGATTATGTTTCTAGGTTTGACTTTCCTCCCACATTAAGCTGCCATGCCGTGATATACTAGTAACTGGCATACTGTTAAAACCGGCGTTAAACCCAACTCACTCACTCACTCACTCACTCACTCACTCATTCCAATGACTTACTTCCAATACTTATAATGTACGTGCCTTGTCAGTATGGTCATTTCAGGGAGACTTGTGTTTATTACAATGAGCGTGTTTCAAACACATAGAAACCTTAGGAAACGGACGTAATATACTCACACGCAAAAGAAACGCAAGTGGTTTTAAGCAAATAGGTAGCAAACACGGAACCATAAATTAATACGAGTTTAAGCATGGAGTGAAGCCTGATGGTGTTATCAATATTTTTGGTTGCATTTTGGAAGCCCCGAGTAAAAACGCAACATAAAAAAACGAATCGTCAAAACGCACCATTTCAATGAATATGTGGGTATCATGCAACCATTTCTCTGTAGTGGGTATAAAACTGTGACCGATTCTTGGACCTACCACTCCTTGGTTAACAATGCCACGCCTAACTCAATTTCAGAGAAACCAGGCTATCGGACGTTTGGAAGCTGGAGTGTCTGTCCAAGATGTTGCCCGTCATTTCAACGTTAACATAACCACAATTTACCGTCTCCTGCATCGATACAATGCTATACAGACCACAGATGACCTTCCTCGGAGCGGTCGTCCTATAGGGTCACCACACCTCGTCAAGATCGGCAGATTACCCGTCAACACCAGCGACATCCGTTCCTTACTGCAAGTGAAAGTGCTCGACAGACCATATGAACACATAATCGACACATTAACATTAATCGATGTTGCCAGAGCTACCATGGCCTTTCTGCAACAACACAACATCCGTGTTCTACCGTGGCCAGCCCTCAGCCCTGATCTGAACCCCATCGGACACTTGTGGGATGAGGTTCAAAGTCGTCTGCACAATGTGCGCCCAGTCCCTACAACTGCCGATGAAAACGCACAGCCGCTCTGGATGTGTGCAGGAAGATCTGTAGGGCCTTCACAAATCGTCTGATCCACTCAATGTACAGGAGATGTGTGGCAGTGATCAATGCTAATGGTGGTCACACCAGGTATTGACTGACATTTTGGGTATTGACCCGAAACTGTGTAAGCCCTTAACATTTGAAAAAAAACAATTATGTCATCTGCCTTTTAATCCATTAAACTGTCTTAAGTAAATTTTTTGTCAATCTTGCCCTATGAGTATTAGTTTATTTTGCGTGTGAGTATATATCTCATGTTGGCGTACATGTACTCGCAAATGAGATTCTAAACAGCATTGTAGCCTTATGATTCACTCACAAGGCAACAAATACGAAGGATGTAAGTTCGATCCCATTGAAAGAAAAGTAACTTTTGTTGTTGGACAGAATATCTCTATAGAATATCTCCCGGACAGAGGGATATTCTGTAGAAAATCCCTGATAACAGGCTATTCTGCGACATAAAGGCCCAATAAAAACAATAGGATTACTTCAAGAGACGTAAATAACAGAAACATGGATCTGACCAACATCGAGTGAGTGAGTGAATGAGTGAGGTTTGTTTTACGCCGCTTTTAGCGATATTCGAGCAATTCGTGGTCTGCCCGATCTTGGCCTGTCTTGCGTCCTGACAGTCTGTCTGAAGCGTCAACCAGTCTGACGACCGTTGGCCGTGTACAGTTTAGGTTTCTTGCAATGTGGGTGTGGTTGGCACCCATCTGCTCCATACCTATGGCTCCTTCTCTCTTTGTTTCGCAGTTAACCGTGGCATATCTTTGGTGTTTGTGTATTAGATGTGATGTCTTGGCAACGGTTCATCGCCTATTTATACAATTTCAGCACGTGCAATTTTACGGTTACCTGGAAAAGCTGTTTGGTGACTTTTGGCCTCTGCACGTGCATCTTTACGGCCAACGCGTTGCGTTTTGGAGATTGATGTTGCAGTTCTTGGGCAACTGTTTTAAGCCTTATACCAATTTGCTCACTTTTGATTTTGTTGATAGTTTTTGGGAAAAAATCAATTTGAAAGTGTAAAACTATACTTTCTTTTGCCCATGAGTTATATATTTATACTAGTTTTCCAGTTATCAAGTTAATGAAACTTCCCAGCCACTCCTTTACATATTATAGGCCTGGTGTTTGGGTACCATTGCGTGTGTCATCATGTTGAGTTCATGTTGAATGTGTGTATGATCTATTTCGATATTCGCCATTTGCGTTTGAATAACTGAATCACTAAACAAGACATATTTCGATGTTTATTTTGGCTATTCGTATTTCACTTTGCTGAATAACGAAATGTTTCGTTATTCGTCTTACAAATGCCACAGCTGGATTGCGAATTACTTCGTCCTTCAAGATACCCCAGAAAGGTGTGATTTGTTAAATATTTCATTTTATAATACCCTCGACATCTCTCTCAAAGCACACCAAGTCTCGAGAAATGTTTCCCTTCTTCGAAAAATCCACACCCTTCTCAATATCAAGGCATGAATGTCAGGGCAGCGTGAAGTATCGTAGGGGACATCACCTGGTGTAGTTGAGAGAGCTTCTGTTCGGAGAGCAAGGTCAGTGGTTCGATCCCCAGTCGTGTCCTACCAAAAGATATTTAAAGAAGGTACTTGTTTCTCTGACTGGCGCTGGACATTAATGGGATAAACTTGGCCCGGTCGGCTCGGAGTCATAAACTACGGCATAGTCTCTCAGTACGCTAGCACTATAAAACCGACATTAGTCCGGACTTTTACAAGCAGACACACACACACACTAAACACACACTCGTGCATGCACGTCGCTATAAATGTGAAAACCCATTTCACCTCTTATCACAGAACCTCAAACTAACTCACATGCACCAACAAACATATTCTTAAGTTACGGTGTATGTAGAAACTAAACACACGACTGCAATCTGAAGTAACTTTATTGACAAACACCCTTCTTGACACAATCACAGTGTCATATCCTGCAGCTTGATGGCGGCTATCACGGCTAAAACAAATACAAAGAGGAGCAGTGAAATAATGTATTGTAAGATGATGGTTAATATGATATATTTATTAGATGTCGTTACTACTTGTCACATTTGTCAAATATTGCACTCCCTTGTGATCACTCGTGTCAGGGAAAGGAGTAAGTTTTCTCGCCCATCATTCTCAACAGCCGATGGCATAACCTATCACCACTTTGAGGAGGACAGAGGTTTTATCAAAGCAACCACCTGTATATGTATACAACATTAATCTTATATTAAAATGCATATCCAGTCCTTTTGTTGAAGATAGCCAACTATTAAGAATATTTTGCCATTCAAGCCAGTATCTCCGTTGAAAATAAGGATGTGACACATGGCATTCGCGTCAGTTTTACGTTTTCAAATGTAAAGCTGCCCATTTCGAAAAGTTCGTAAGTCTTTATCTTAGCATGGTGCTTGCATTCGTTCAGATATTATATACGTACCTTGTGAGTATGGTCATTTGAGTGGCACTCGCATTCGTCCAGATGGTGGTTACAGTTGACATGGCCAGTACAGTTTGTGCAGAGGTTTTCGCAGAAAGAGTGGGAGTTAGAGCCTGAGGCTGCACACCCCTTGCCACAAGAGGTCTGGGCTGCCTCTGCAAGGAAACGATTCCAACTGTTCATGGACACATACCACCAACGTGAAAAGCAAACATTGAAGCAAATAATTAATTTCAATAAGATGCGAAGTTGATAACAAAAAACACTGCTCGTGACAGTGATTTATATGTTTGTTTGTTGTTAAACGCCGCATTCAACAATATTCCAGCAATATGACGACGGCCTGTAAATAATCGATTCTGGACCATACAACCCAGTGATTTACATCATCAGCATCGATCTAGGCAACTGAAATACGATGACATGTATCAACTTAGTCATAAACCTGACCACCTGATCTTGTTGGTCGCCTCTTACGACAAGCATGGGTTGAAGATAAATTCTAACCCGGATCTTCACGGATGTAAATGCTTGTGTTTCAGTTCTACTAAGCCCAGCCTATGTTGAAAGACAATCAGGTAGCGTTAGTTTCTTCTGATGGAAACTCTTCCAACCATTGACAGCCATTAATAAGACTCAATGCACATATTGAAAGATCTTACGACAACCAATTATGAACGACGACACAGAGCTGGGTATTCTCCGGACGGGTGTGAGTGGGGGTACATGAAATACTTACGGGTGGCGACCAGGAGAGAGGCAAACACGAGGACAATCACAAACTTCATGGTTTCTTTATGCTATGGTGTGTTTCCAGAACCTTATATAGCCGTGCGTATATAAGTCGTTCGTTTCGTCACATTCCAAGACCTGTTTATCAGCGAACATCTGCCCTGTTAAACTTTGGTTTTCAATAATAATTCATAGTTACTGTAGTCACTATTCCCATTTGAAGACATGTTTCTGGTCAAAAGAATCCATGCGCATTGCCCGTGTAAAAACACAAGCACATATATTACACAGCTCAGTATTATACAGACAAACACACGTGATGTCAAACAGTTGACACAAGCTACAGGGTCAATGCTTTAAAACTTTCTTTCACTTCCTCCTAGGGATTCCGTGTTAAGTTCATGGTTTCTTTAAGCTCTGGAGTGTTTCCAGTACCGTACATACCCGTGCGTGTTTAAATAGGTCGATACGTCACATTCAAGGTTGTTTATCAGCGTCCATCTCTCCTGTTAAACTTTGGTATTCAATCATGATTAATGTTAATTTTAGCCACAAATTACAATTATATAGTATTCTCATTCGAAGACATGTTTGACGTCAAAAGATGCGCATTGCGCATGAACGAAAGATGACAAACACAAAAAGACATTAACAGCGCAGCACAGTATTATACAGACATACACATTTGATGTCAAACAGTTGACATCATTACCTACAAGATGAAGTTTGTCTTTCTCCTTGTTTCGCTGTTCTCTTAGTTGTTACCGGTAAGGCCTGTTTTTCAATTACTTGTGTGTGTTAACATCCTTACCAAATAAATCACAACGTACACGCCAGGGAATAATCAGCCCAGTATAGTCTGCCTCTTGCAGATATTTCTATTCGATATGGAAAGGGTTTTGTCGCTTTATTTATACAACAGCGAGGACCCTGCAATATGACGGCATGTCAGGAGAGCGCAGAGATGCGCAAGTCAATACCATGACACACGAGTACGGCGATATTCATCAATAATCTGGGATTAATAATCATGACAGGTGGATCCTGGCATGGTTAGGGAGGCAACTCTTCACACTGAGAATCGGCGCCTTAGACCACTGAGCACCCGGGTCCGGATCCCAGGATGCTACGTCAACAGATTCGTGTGTTGACCATTATAGGCACTGGGGATTGTGTACAACCTGAAGCCTAGTTGGTTACACTTCAAAGAGGATCAGGTGGTTACAAAGTGAGTGGGTGAGTAATTATTGCTTTACACCGCATAAGCAATCTTGCGGCTATTCGTGGCCATTCACGGTTACATAGGTTGCGAACCGGAGGGAGTTTGTGTTCACAGTATCTGGTTTTTAATATATCAAGACCAGATTCTCGTTTACATCCCATAACGATTTCCTCATAATATCCGCTATTTACCATGAACGTTCAAATATAATGGTTATTCCACCTGACACTGCCCAAGTGCCTGGGGTACAGGGTAGCCTTGACGCACAAGGCGCCACAGTTCGCTGTGCACAGTTACGTCCCTTGGGTACGCCAGAAACCTATGATTGTGTGTTCGAATCCCGGTACGCCTGAATTGTATTTCTAGGTTTGTTAGCATCATACCCGTGCTCGTGGTTTCACTGATGTGGTAAATATCTGAGACCTGCATCACTCTGGCCTTTCCTTCCACGTTAAGCTGCCACGCCTTGATATAACCGGAATACTGTAAAACCGGAATGCGTTAAACCAAACTCACCCAGTTACTTGATTGAGGTCATTACACCCCTAGAACTGGATGTGTATTGAGGTCATTACACCCCTAGAACTGGATGTGTAACGTAGGTTGCACGCCTGGTGGTGAATGTATTTGTGTGGAGGCATGCAATAGGTTCCATGTTTGATATGGCTTATATACGTATAGGGTTCTTGGAATAGTTTGCACGCCTTATTTGAATGCCTTATAGGGTATATACATATATGGGACCCGTGAAGATCCGGGATAGAATAGGTCTTCAGCAACCCATACTTGCCGGAGGCGACTATGCTTGTCGTAAGAGGCGACCAATGGGATCGGGGAGTCAGGCTCGCTGACTTGGTTGATGTATGTCATCGTATCCCAATTGCGTGGATCGAAGCTCATCATGTCAATCACTGGATTGTCTGGTCCAGACTCGATTATTTGCAGATAGGCGTCATATATCTGGAATATTGCTTAGTGCGGCGTTAAACAACAAGCCAAACCAACCAAACCAAACCCTTGAGAAGGATCCTGAAATAATATATGAACATGGGCCTGGGTACGTTCGTTGATCCAAACTCCCTATACGTTCAGAGACACCAGTTGTACATCTAAGTTGATGGCGGATGGCAGTGGTTTCATCTTTGTGTTTCGACTTGGGGACATTACGTGACCAGCGCTAGACAGCATGTTCTGACAACAACGTAATTCTACTTGCGGGAGGCCAACAGGAGAGTTACGGTAACGAGGAGCACAGCGAACGTCATGTTTATTTAACTATGTACAAAGTTGCATCCTGTCAGTGTTAAACCCCTGTGTGCTGGCACATGCCAAGTTTCCTTATCGTTGCTTTTGGTTATAGTTCGTGTATTATCTGTGTCGCAGAGGCAGAAAGCCAGCCCCAAACCTTGTGAAATGCCTGGCATTCGAGTTGTCCATTACGTTGACATACATGGTGCCCGCAAGAACAATGTGTCATGCTTAAGACTTTACTCATGGAGGCAAACACATTGAAACTGATCCTGACATAACGACGTGTGGAGCTTTTGGTATTACAGCAGATGCTTGATTGCTTAGACGTGTTTTCTGCTTCATTTATCCGACATTTAATTTATTTTTTTTCTCCATCCATAAAATATGTTGCTCAGCATAAATTATATTCTCAAACAGTCGTTTATCTATATTTGCTTGTGTTCCACTTTTCAGGTTGAAGAAACGTCCCAGTCACTCCTTCAACATATAATTGGTCTGCTGTTTGGGTCCCACTGGTTTGTGGTCAAGTTGAGGTCATCAACAAGAAAGCGGAGTGAATGTACATGCATGTAATCTATTTCGGTATTTGTCATTTGGGTTTGAACTGCTAAACCACGAAACAAGACATATTTCATTGTTGTTTGGTCATTCGTCTTTCAATTATCACAGCTGGATGACGAATTCCTTCATGATTCGTCCTCTAACATACCCTTGTCACCCGAGAAAGGTGTGATTAGTTATATATTTCACTATATAACACACTCGACTTCTCTCCCCAAGCACGGCAAGTCTCGACAAATGTTTCGCTTCTACAGATTTCCACACTGTACTCAATAAAAAAGCGTAAATTATCACCTGGTCTACTAGACAAAGCATCTGCCCTGGGAGCGAAAGGTCGGTGGTTCGATCCCCGGTCCCGTCGTACCAAATAATGTTTAAAGATGGGACTGGCGCTCGGTGTCGGGCCTTAGTCATAAACCAGTCCGGACTAGTACACGCGCGCGCGCGCACGCAAGCACGCACGCACGCACGCACACACACACACACACACGTCGCTATATATGTGTAATAACATCGAATGTGTAATTCACAACTTTATTCGCATTATCACAGCGTCAGATCCCGCAGTGTGCATATCCGGGTGGAAAAGCTCAGGGCTGAAACAAATATAAAGAGGCGCAGTGAAATAATGTATTGTTGGATGATGGTAAATTTGATATATTAATTAGATGTCATACCGTGAATATGCTCCTGAATCCATTACTAACAAGACTGACTTCTCAGAATACTTTTCTTAATGTACTCATATTATACCAAAAGGTCCCACGTAAAGCAATTTTTAAGTATTATTTTGTCACATTTGTCAAATATAGGAGTAAGTATTCTCGCCCATCATTCTCAACAGCCGATGGCATAACCTGTCACCACTTAAAGGAGGACAGAGGTCTTATCTAAGCAATCACCTGTATATGAAGACAACATTAATCTTTTATCAAAATGAATATATGGCGGTTTTGTTGAAGATAGCCAACTATAGGATATGTTGCCGATCAAGCCTGTGAACAAATTATGGTAACACATCGCCTTCACATCGGTGTGACATTTTCGAATGTAAAGCTGCCCATAGCGACAAGTTTGTAAGTCTTAACCTTAGCATGGGGCTCGCATTCGTTCAGATGCTATATCATCTTCCCGTGGCAAGAAGGTTAACTGACTTTAAAAGTCGAGTTTCAACCCTTGCCGAACTAGGCTGGTATTATGGAGTTTCATTTTGTCTGGACTAACGAGTCTATGCATAGTCCAATCAAAATCGCGCACCGAAACCAAAATCCGGTTCGTAAACTGTCGTGCAGATTTCGATCGATTGCAGGATTTGCAAAGCATGTGCACCGCCAACTCTTTGTCAGCAGATATTTTCCAAATCCTTTCATGTTTTTAACCAAGGTGCTCACGTGGTTTGATGCATTTTGCGATGTAAGACCCGTTTTATCACAATATAGATCTTGATAATCGATCAGATCGTCCTGACTAGGCGCCACCATTTTGTGTGAAGCAAACGCAAGTGATACGAGAGGTGGAATCTGATTGGTCCACAGGAGAGGTTTAGAAGGGACATAATTGGTAATAGCCACTGGTGGCGCAAAGATCGAGCCCAGTAATTCCAGCCAAGTTCGGCAAGGGTGGAAACTGGACTTTTAAAGTCAGTTAACTCTCTTGCCTCGGGAAGATGATACTATATACGTACCTGGTGAGTATGATCAGTGTGGCACACGCATTCGTCCACATTGTGGAGACAATGGACGTGGCCATTACAGCTGGAGCAGAGGTTTTCGCAGAAAGAGTGGGAGTTAGAGCCTGAGGCTACACACCCCTTGCCGCAGGTGGTCTGGGCTGCCTCTGCAAGGAAACGATTCCATCTGTTCATATACGCATACCACCAACGTGAAAAGCAAAATTTGATATCTAAGTTAATATTAGAAATACTCAACAAAACCTATATTTATAATAATAACGCAAAGAAATTCATTTGGATAAGATGCTAAGTTCATAAAAGCACTGCGCGTCAGTTATGTTTGTTTGTTGTTTTAATGCCGCACTCTGCAATATCATGAGCATCGATCTCGCAATTGTGACACGATGAAATTCATCAACCAATTTATCGAACCTGACCACCCGTTCACGTTGGTCGCCTTGTATGACAAGCATAGTTGCCTCTGCTAAACAAGCATTGGTTGATGAAGATCACATATAACCCCCATTTCCACGGGTGCAAATGCTTGTCTTTCCAGCACGCGTTCGCCCAGCGTACGTTGAAGGAAAATCTGTCAGCGTTAGTTTCTTCTGGTTGTAACTCTTTCTAAACACTAATTTTAACAGCCATTGAAAGCACCCGATCAACATAATTTTTATATATTAAAAGTTCTTACAACCAACACATTATTTTGCAACGAATCTACAACAAAACTAAACATATTTGGAAGTCATTAAATAGAGTACAAGCTATGAGATACTGTAGGTATGTGAGACTGAACAACTACACAGAGTTGGGTATTCTCTGGCGGGACGTGTGTGACTTACGTTCGGCGACCAGGAGAGAGGCAAACACGAGGAAAATCATAAACTTCATGTTTCTTTATGCTGTTGAATGTTTCCGGGACCATGTATAGCCGTATGTGTATAAAGGTCGTAGACATGTCACATTTAAATACCTCCTTATCAGCAAACATCTGTCATGTTAAACGTTTGGTTAATTTTCAGTTTTCTAAAAAATATAGTCTTGTTCACATTTGTCTGACGACTTGTATAAAAGACATACGCAATGCGAAGGAACAGACACAAAGAACATATATAACAGCGCTGTACAGTACTATACAGACGTACAGATCTGATCTCAAACAGTTGACATCATTAGGTACAGGGTGAAGTTTGTTATTCTCCTTGTTTTCGCTGTTCTCGTGGTTGCAGCTGGTAGGATCTATTTTTCAGTAGTATGTGTACGTTAACATTCTTACCTTATAATTCAAAACGGCAACGCCAGGGAATAATCATCCCTTAAATAGTTATGGTTTTACAGCGATCCTTTTTCAGTTATGGAAACTTCACTTTTAAAAAGAGGAAGACTTTTGGATATCATTGTTCGTATCATTGACATGTGTTGTGTTATTGCTCTTTTGTGTGTCAATTGTGTGGGTGACGGTTGCTACCGTCAGGGCAGGACATGCTTAGCTGGAGGTGTGATCCATTCATGTGATATTCACCGCTATAAGCCTGTGAAATCTGTTTCGAGATGGAGACTGATAACTATCTGGCGTTGACGTTTTGAATTTGAAGTTTCATTTCAAGATATTATAATTTCCCCGTCTATAGTTTGTTTGTTTTCCATTGTACTGCTCGTTAAGAATTTCATTAGATGATATAAATAATGGACATGAAGGTTGTGTAAGTAAGGTTTTTTCTGATACTGATAAGGGTCCTAATGTTGTCAGTGAGTGGCCAAGATGTATATAGAATAGCAATGAATGTCAAGTATTTATGGAGAACTTTATATCAAACCTATCAGATGTTTATGATGTTTTGGGTGATCAGATTATCAATGATGCAGAAGTAGCTTTAGACTCTATTGTCAAGATATATCAGTCCTCAGCAGAACAGTTAAAAAGAATATATAAAGGATGCCCTATAAGAATACGTAATCAACCTCCATGGTGGGATAGCGATTTAGAAGATTTAAAAAATAGAAAGTATCATGCTCTTCGGGCCCATAGAGACCAGGGTTATGACTTAAGTGAATTTAGAAAGTTGCGCAACTTGTTTAAATCTAAATTTAGATTTAAGAGATATGTTTACCAGAATGATATGAGACAAAATTTAATTGACTGTAGAAACAATGCTAAATTATTTTGGAGAAGGCTAAAACAGGGTGCTTATGGTGAAAGCATTTCACAGCAAATTAGTAGCTATGATTGGATACAGCATTTTAGTAACCTTCTGTGTGTAGATAACATATCCACTGAGGGTTTTGATTATGACATATGTAATACGGAGGTAGAAGAGGCTTAACTTAAATGGCCCTATTACTATGATGGAAGTTTTGTTTCATATTGATAAGTTGGGATTAAATAAATCCCCTGGTCCTGATGGCCTTGCTGCTGAATTTCTGAAAGCATCATTAGATTATATTCTACCTGTGTTGGTCTTATTGTTTAACAACATATTTGATAATGGTGAATTCCCTAAAGTATGGGGAAAAAGTATAATATGTCCTTTATTTAAGTCAGGAGATAAACACTGTATTGATACTTATCGTGGAATCTCCTTGATATATATTATTTGTAAAGTTTTTTGCTCTACTCTTAACTCCAGACTGCAGCTTTAGTGTGACGAACATAATGTCATTAATGAAGCACATGTTGGCTTCAGAGCTAATCGCTCCACTATTGATAGTAGTTTCTGTTTGCAATCTATTGCCCAAAAATATGCCCAAAGGAAAAATGGAAGATTTTATTGTTTATTTATAGACTTTACAAAGGCTTTTGATTCGATTAAACATGACGTTTTGTTAAAAAGCTTAAATGAAGTAGGAGTTAGTGGCAAATGTTTTAAGATAATAGTTTCAATGTATTCAAATTTAAGTGCATATGTGTAAGACTCTCTGGTGGTTTAACAAATTATTTTTGGTGTAACATTGGTACGAGGCAGGGATGTACCTTAAGTCCGCAGTTTTTTATTATTTTTATAAACAAGTTAATGCACTTCATGCAAGAAACTGGTGGCAGGGGTGTCTATGTTTCACCTTCCTTTAAAGAGATGTTTGTTTTGATGTTTGCTGACGATGTGTCATCTATGGCAGATTCGTGTTTACAGTTACAAAAAAAGATATATGTCTTGGAACACTTTTGTGATGTAACGGGTATGAAAGTTAATTTGAATAAAACAAAGATAATGGTTTTTCGTAATGGAGGCCCTTTTCGTGCATATGAGAAGTGGTATTTTATGGGAAAACAGATTGATGTTGTATCGTCATATAGATATCTGGGTCTGGTTTTTACGCCCAAACTTGTTTGGAGTAAGGCACATCTTTCACTTACCGCCCAAGCACAAAAGGCTTTATTGGCTATTTATACATATTCCAAGAAATTTGGTAATTTATCATGTAAAGATTTGTTTAAAATAGTTGATGCTACAGTTGTACCCATTCTTTGTTATGGTGCAGAGATATGGGGTGTGAATTACTGTAGGAGAGTTGAAAGTGTACAGATAAAGTTATGTAAATGGATACTTAAAGTTGGTAAAAGTACTACAAATAATATGGTTCTAGGGGAATGTGGAAGAATTCCTCTCCAGTATATTTATATGACAAGAGCAGTAAAATATTGGACTAAACTTAATTATTTAAATGACAATAGATTACCATTTCAATGTTATAGCATGATGTTATCACAGGATGAGAGTGGAAGAGTAAATTGGGTCAAACATATAAAACATATTCTGTTTCAATTTGGATTTAGATTTGTTTGGGTTGCACAGGATTCACGTCGAATACCCGGGTTCACGAATTGAGTACAATGTGTGTAGCCGATATTTGGTGTCCCCCGCCGTGATATTGCTGGAATAGTGCTAAAAGCGGCGTAAAACCATACTAATTCACTCACTCAATTGCAATGGTTATCACACCAGACGCTGCCCCGGAGCCCTGTGGTTCATGATGTGCAACTGCTGGCTCTGACGGCCACTCCTTCTGTATTAACCTCTACACCAACTGTACTGGCAACGTCTACTGCAACCATCACCTAGACGGGTGCGAGTGCCACCCTCAAGATGATGAAGCAACGTGTATATACCCAAGACCCATTCATTACCACAGCTTGGTGTATATACCCTAGACCCATTCATCACCATAGCTTCGTGTATATACCCTAGACCCATTCATCACCACAGCTTGGTGTATATACCCTAGACCCATTCATCACCATAGCTTCGTGTATATACCCTAGACCCATTCATCACCACAGCTTGGTGTATATACCCTAGACCCATTCATGACCACAGCTTGGTGAATATACCCTAGACCCCTTCATCACCACAGATTGGTGTATATACCCTTGACCCATTCATCACCACAGCTTGGTGTATATACCCTTGACCCATTCATCACTACAGCTTGGTGTATATACCCTAGACCCATTCATCACCATAGCTTGGTGTATATACCCTAGACCCATTCATCACCACAGCTTGGTGTATATACCCTAGACCCATTCATGACCATAGCTTGGTGTATATACCCTAGACCCATTCATCACCACAGCTTGGTGTATATACCCTAGACCCATTCATCACCATAGCTTGGTGTATATACCCTAGACCCATTCATCACCACAGATTGGTGTATATACCCTAGACCCATTCATCACCATAGCTTGGTGTATATACCCTAGACCCATTCATCACCACAGATTGGTGTATATACCCTAGACCCATTCATCACCACAGCTTGGTGTATATACCCTAGACCCATTCATCACTTTAGCTTGGTGTATATACCCTAGACCCATTCATCACCACAGCTTCGTGTATATACCCTAGACCCATTCATGACGACAGCTTGGTGTATATACCCTAGACCCATTCATGACCATAGCTTGGTGTATATACCCTAGACCCATTCATCACCACAGCTTGGTGTATATACCCTAGACCCATTCATCACCATAGCTTGGTGTATATACCCTAGACCCATTCATGACCACAGCTTCGTGTATATACCCTAGACCCATTCATCACCATAGCTTGGTGTATATACCCTAGACCCATTCATCACCACAGATTGGTGTATATACCCTAGACCCATTCATCACCACAGCTTCGTGTATATACCATTGACCCATTCATCACTACAGCTTGGTGTATATACCCTAGACCCATTCATCACCGCAGCTTCGTGTATATACCCTAGACCCATTCATGACCAGCTTGGTGTACATACCCTAGACCCATTCATCACCATAGCTTGGTGTATATACCCTAGACCCATTCATCACCATAGCTTGGTGTATATACCCTAGACCCATTCATCACCACAGATTGGTGTATATACCCTAGACTCATTCATCACTACAGCTTGGTGTATATACCCTAGACCCATTCATGACGACAGCTTGGTGTATATACCCTAGACCCATTCGTCACTATAGCTTGGTGTATATACCCTAGACCCATTCATCACAACAGCTTCGTGTTTATACCCTAGACCCATTCATGATCACAGCTTGGTGTATATACCCTAGACCCATTCATGACCATAGCTTGGTGTATATACCCTAGACCCGTTCATGACCACAGCTTGGTGTATATACCCTAGACCCATTCATCACCATAGCTTGTTGTATATACCCTAGACCCATTCATGACCATAGCTTGGTGTATATACCCTAGACCCATTCATCACCACAGCTTGGTGTATATACCCTAGACCCATTCATCACTACAGCTTGGTGTATATACCCTAGACCCATTCATCACCACAGCTTGGTGTATATACCCTAGACCCATTCATCACTTTAGCTTGGTGTATATACCCTAGACCCATTCATCACCACAGCTTCGTGTATATACCCTAGACCCATTCATGACGACAGCTTGGTGTATATACCCTAGACCCATTCATGACCATAGCTTGGTGTATATACCCTAGACCCATTCATCACCACAGCTTG